GGGGAGCGTCCAGACTAGCGCGCTGAGCCGACAAACAGCTGATGAGCTGTTTGTCGGCTCAGCACAGCAGCCATGTAAATTTAAATGAAGCCGCGATGATTTAAATCGCAGCTTCATTTCCCTTTGCCAAACAAACAAATCTACATGACTCCGTCTATGGAGCCATGTAGTTTAGACATACCCTAACAGAGGCAGCAGCGCGGGGTGGCAAGAGGTGGCACTGTGGAGCCAGTGCTGGTGGGAACTGGCTTCTAAGCTGGCTCCCTCCCAGCACCGGCTCTTGTCTCCCTCCCACTTCCTCTGTAAGACGCAGCAACAGGGGAGCAGGAAGGTACATGGAACCGGCATGCAATGGGAGCCTGCTTAAAAGCCAGCTCCCCACGCATATGGTCTCCAGCCTGCCCCCACTTATCCTCCGTGCTGTGGGGGTGAGGGGACAGGCAGATTCAGTGCTCATGGGGAGCCAGCTTTTAAGCCAGCTTCTCACAGGCACCAGCTTCTATTCCCCCAACCTTACTGCCTCTGATACAGAGACAGCGGGGGGAGGGGAAGATGCATGTAGTTCACAAGATTAACCAATAAGATTAAATTTATCAATTAATCAGGTAGTCGTCTACAGGATGACATCCCTGTTACCCAGGCAAAGTGTGCAGAGGGATTTAAGCATCTGTGAATGACAATAGCTTTGTTGGTCAATTGTCAGTGTGATTAAAGCCTGGCCCATGTCCACACTATGGGGGAAGGTCAGCATCAGGTACATAATTCCAGCTATGTAAAATACATAGCTGGAGTCAACATACATTAAGCCAAGCTTCTGCGTCGTCCTCACAGAGAGAAGTTGATGGGAGAAACATTTTTGTTGACTTTCCTTACTTCTCGTGAGGAGTAGAAGTACCAGCACTGATGGGGGGGGGGACTCTGCATTCAATTTAGTGGGTCTTTATCCCTAAATCGAATCAGAGGATCACCACTGTGCTGATCTTCCTGCAAGTGGAGATATGCCCTTAAGACTACTTAACTCCCTCCTGTACGAGATTAGAATGACAATGGATCTCTTCCCTTTCAGAATTAAATGCAAAACTCATTCCCTTCCTCTTTAAGTTCTTCATGTACACAACATACTAGGGATGTTAAATAGCGGTTAACTGAATAGCCAATTAACCTCATGAGTTCTTATCGGTTACTTGATTATTCTATAGTCCCCAGGGATGGGGCTGGCAGCCAGTGGACTCCAGCTTCACTCCTGAGGAGCCTGCTGCCACTCCACACTGCTGCCTCTCTATCAAAGGCAGCAGCATGGGGTGCCAGGTGGGAGCTGGTCTGCGAGGGAAGCCAGTTTAAAATCGGCTCCCCTCATGGACCAGCTGCCTGTCGCCCCACGCTGCTGCCTCAGATAAAGAGGCAGCATTGCAGGATGGCAGCTGCCCTTGTCTAGAGAGGGGCAGAGCTCCAAGATATGGCGTGAGCCAGAACCGAGCCAGGCTGCCTGCCCACCCAGCTCCTAATACACTTTAAATACAGAGCCACAGCGAGGGTAGGTCCTAGACCTGGCATGAGCCAGGACTGAACCGGGCTGCTGGCTAGCCTGCTAAAAAATGTACTGGCAAGGTGGAGGGGGGGAAAATGTGTGTAGTCTATAGCATTAACCTATAAGCTTTTGCTTATTGGTTAATCGACTACACTATTACATCCCTACAGCATACTCAGAACCTGTAAACTAGCCAAGCTATTTTTTCCTGCTGTCTGGGAAGGCAAAAGGGAGAGATTGTTATTTTTATTTTTAGTTACTTGGGAAGCACTCAGATGATATGGCGATAAGGGCCATTTAAGAATATGGAGAGACGTTGGGGAAACAGTTCAGACAGAAAGATGAGAAGTTTCTTTTTAAACACAGGTCGCTATGGACGCACTAGGATGTAACATTAAAGGGATTTTAGTCAGTCAGTGTTAACCAAGGTCACTGGGACTGAGTTTCTAAAATGATAATATAATGGACATATCCAAATGGTTTTTACAGTTATAACCCGCTATTTTAATGTCACATCTGATTCTTCCTATAAAAAGTTATGTTAGCATCTTCTATTAACCACAAATTAACAACCTACAAAATTCAGAAAAACATCCTGCAATATTTCTAAGAGAGTACTCAAGGGTAAATGTGTTGTGTGTGGTAGAACATATGTTCCAAAAGCATCAGATTCTAACAATCAGAAGTTAGAGGGACCTGAGAGCTAACAATACCAGTGCTTATCCAACCTTATGCATTAAAAACAAAAACAAAAACAAAAAACAGATTGGGAGTCTGTATTGTCAAGATTATGTCCCAACTCTGTGAGTAGAGCTATGCAAGTCAGTCTCTATGGGTATGCCAAGACTGTGAGGATCTATCGGAAAAAGATATGCAAAATGCTCTCCACATTCCGGCTGTGTCTAGACTGCATCCCTTTTCCGTAAAAGGGATGCAAATTAGACACATCGCAATTGCACATGAAGCGGGGATTTAAATCCCCCCCGCTTCATTTGCATAAACATGGCTGCCGCTTTTTTCCGGCTCGGGGCTTTGCCGGAAAAAAGCGCCAGTCTAGACGGGGATCTTTTGGAAAATAAAGCCTTTTCCGAACGATCCCTTATTCCTTTTTTTAAGAGGAAAAAAAGGAAAAAAGGAATAAGGGATCTTTCGGAAAAGGCTTTATTTTCCAAAAGATCCCCGTCTAGACTGGCGCTTTTTTCCGGCAAAGCCCCGAGCCGGAAAAAAGCGGCAGCCATGTTTATGCAAATGAAGCGGGGGGGGGGAGGGATTTAAATCCCCGCTTCATTTGCAATTGCGATGTGTCTAATTTGCATCCCTTTTACGGAAAAGGGATGCAGTCTAGACACAGCCAGAGTGTATAGTTTTCTGATACTTTTGTCAGAAGAGGCTTTTCCAAAATTTGGCCTGTCTAGACTGGGCCAAATTTCGGAAAAAAAACCCGTTTTCAAAAGCCCCCTTCTTCCTCGTGGAACAAGGACTTTGGGGCTTCCGAAAGAGTGCGTTTGCTCTTCCGCAAAAAAAAAGTGGAAGAGCAAACGTGTTCCCTGGATGCAGTGGAAATTTTTCAGGATTAGCTGTATCCATGCAGATCTCCAATTAAGTCCAGGGTGTTCTTCAAGAATGGACCCACGCATCTGCACGCTCACTGCTTAAGATTTTTGTTATTGCCTTATGTTCTGCTCTTAATAGAAACATTTTAAAACTGCTGCTAATTCCTTTTTAATTCAACCACCACCTCGACTCATTCACATAAGTGTAACTCAGAACAAAATTTGGCACTTGTATCTGTGGACACGTACTGTATGGCACATATATAGTGATGTTGATTTTGAGTATGCAGCTGCAATTTGTACACTATCATATCAGTATTTCTAGTGCAACCTAAATGCATAATTTAGTTTAAAAAAGGCCTATTCTTTTAAAAGCAAATGGATAATGCTTTTAACACAAAGCATAGAAAGTCAGTGCCACAGTAATATCCAAATGCAGAGTTCCACCTTCCATCAGCCCATAATCACATTACAGTTGAAAGCTATGCCATATGGTTACCAAGATAGCATGTGAATATCCAATGAAGTAATCATTAGCCAAAGAAAAATATTCTCACTATGCTTCTTAAATAATATATTTTTCACCATTTAAAATCTGTGCTATAAAAATTGAGATATTTAGAGCTAATATATAATCATATAGACCTGCCCCATCCACTCAGTCACAGACTGAGGATATGCCCTCTCTCATCCATAAATAGTGGCACACTTGTGAATTTCCATTCCTCTGGGATTAGCTAGGACTGGAAGATAATGTGAGATACCACAGACCTGAAAAATAAAAATCCCCTTCAGGTCAAGCAGCACATGCTTCCTTAGTGCAATGCTGCAGCAAAAATATCAGTCTTTCATCCACTTACTGTCCCTGAATACAGTAATAGTTGTTACCTTGGGAAAGAGCTATCAGCCTGAGCTAATCAAACAAATGAGAAAAGAACAGCTTTTATTTTCCATTGTAGCAAAGGCCACTCGCTAATGACAGTGACTAACTTCATTTTCAAAACAATGTCAATTCATATGAACACAGGTACCAGCAGTGTGGCCTTCCATGCAAATCTGGAAGGTGTAAGTTGTCACTGAAAATCAGACAGTAAAACAGAGGTGGGGGGGGGGGCAAGGTGCCAGCTTCAAAACTAGTCATGCCACATTTAATCAGAGCCTTCAAAATGAACTGAGCAGTGTTTATGTATTGTTCATTTTACAGATAACAGCCTGGCTAACCTACCGCATCTCCCCAAGCCTGAGCCCTTCACACAGGACTCATGGGGGTCCTATCTCAACCATGCCAACTTCAGGTGACTCAAAAAAGCGCCTTCCTCCCCCCTTACTATGCCTGTTGAAAGCAGGCTGGGAATAGGAATAATGAGACACGATCAGACAGGCAGGGTAATTAATAGGCATCCTACCAGTCTCATTCACAGCTCCCTGGCAGACGGGCTGGCTGGCAGCCTGACTGCACCTAGCACATTCATTTCTATTAATACGGGAGGGGGGCGGCTGGTGGGAGGGGGCTGCATTTGGAGAATGAACATGCTCCGGGGCTGGAGTGGGAGTGTTTTTGCCCCGCTCAGGGTCACTGCAAATGGATCAAGCCAGCCGTTTGCCCCCTGCCCCCTCCATTCCCGGCTCTCACCGTGTGGGCGGCGTTGCTCGACCTAAGCGGCGGCAAGGCGATGGGTGACGGCGGGCCGGTCCCAGCTCCCGTCCGGGATCCCCCGGCTCCGATGCCCGGGGAAGACTGCAGCTGGCGGCCCCCCCCACCCGGCCCGCCCCCCC